CTTTTTGGAAGAAAATTGAGAGTCTGATCTCTAAATACTTTCTTCCAGATTTTCACCTGACAGAAGAATTTATTTGTATTTTCCACACTGATGTTACATTTAATTATAGCAATAAAGGGTGTATATACTGGAGAGGGAAGCCTGGATTTCTTCCATAATTCTGATCGAATCCACTCTTTGGGTCCATTTCCTAATGTATATAATGTTAGGACTTTTCCACTTAGTGGATACAAGTAAGCTGTTAGAAGATGAGTGAGAAGAATGCGTTGAGGTTTGGGGAAACAACAAGGATAAAATAGGAACACCAGTTTTTCAGGTGTGTGGGGTAATTGGATACCTATAATAGTCTTGATCATGGTTACTACTCTCATACAGTACTCTTAAATGAGTGGGTATAGCCACCAGGTGTGAGCTAGTGAGGCCCCCGGTCAGGTGCGTTTCCAGCACAAGTCAGGTGTATTTGGAAATAGATTATATAGTTTAGCTGGTGAGTAAGTCCGTGACCCTTGATGTTGTGAAAGGGGACAAAGGATTTTTATGGTCCGGTTGGAGGAGGTTATAAAATGTAGAAAGATGCTTTGCTTTAACAATATGGGTTTGGCAATATGTTTGGAAAGCTGAGATGGTGTGAAAGCCTGTCAGAAGAGACAAGTCAGCTTTTATACAGTGAGTTCATTGCACGTATCAGAGCGATTGCAGTGGAGTAGGGGTGTCTTCTCGAGTTAAACTGGAAAGGGGTGTTATCACTGCACCAGCAAGAAGTGAACCTAGTTTAAGGTATCTGTAATCATTGAATGTTTGGAAGGATTGGAAAGATCTGGCCTGGAGTGCTATTGTTTATTTTTTGTAATTGTGTTAGAAAAAAAGAGAAATACATTTTGAATAAAATAAAAGTTTTTTTGGCATGTAATAGTGTTTAGGCGACAGAATTCCCCCCCTCTCCCCCACATCACTAGATGACGGTATGGGGCACAAACATAGGAAGCATTTCTTCCTGGAGAGACCTACCTTTCCAGACATCAGACTCTCCTTCAAGAGGCCTGGACTGCTGATTACATGATGGTGCCCGAGAGCCGGAATGAGCTGGAGGCCTCAGAAGTATCACAAGAAGATGATGCATTACTTACCTCACCTCACCCCAGCTGAGTATATCACAAATCTGAGTCGGATGAAGACTAGTCTCCTTCTACAAAGAGAGACATTAAACAATAGATTTACTTGAAGGCTGGTCTTTTGGAGGTCCAGACTTAAATAAGTGCTTTAAACCACAAGGTGCAAGCAGTGGAGGAGAGAGAGAGAAAGAGTCAGCTCCAGGATACCAAGTGCCAAATAGAGGGTCTTGCCAAGCAAGCTACACAGCTGGACCAAATGGTGCTCTCGATGGAGTCCCATCATTGATACAGAAATATTCGCCTGCATGGTATACCTGAAAGGGTGGGCATAGAAGAGTTTCTTCCATTTGTCCAGAGGTTAATAACCTAATTGAGTCTCAAGGGGTGTGCTGAAAACCCACATATACTAGCACTGTTCAGAGTGTGCAAATCAGTCGTGGCTCCTGCGGACGCTCCCAGGGATGCTATTGCAGTTATCAGTGACTTAGCGGTGAGATCTGCATTCAGGACCAGCTCCAGAGTATTAGGGACTGTGAAGTTTGAGGACTGCTCAGTGGCAATATACAGGGACCTCACGTTTTCTTTCTTAACTGAAAAGAGGCTGCTGGCTCTGGATGCAAGGAAGTTGCGGGACTTTTCTATTCTGTACCGTTGGAGTGTTGAGGGCTTCCTTGTGGTTTCACATGGGGAAAATTATCCCCACTGGAGATCGAGACATTCTATCACAAACTGGGCCTGATGACTATTTCCCAGATAGAAGTTGCAGCTCAGCAAGCTCTACTGCTGGATCCCCGTAACTCGAGAATAGGTTCATAGGGACTGAAGGATCCACCAGAACACACATCTTGTCGGCTAATATCCAAGACTTAGAAGGCCGTAAACATCTACATAGATATTGCCCATTGCTGCAGGTACTGGTGTTTTCAGTGCAATCTCGTCCCTCAGCCTTCTGTTTTCCAGCGTTTTATAGTACTTTTTTATGTTATGTCTTGTTTGACATGATTCACACTAAGCCTATTGATTATATGTCTATTTTCCAACTAATATAATGACACAGTTGTATACAATGTGTACAAACTTTAATAAAACACAAATTGAAAAGAAAAAAAAGAAAATAGGTTGTTAGAGGTCCCTTTCATATGTGACAGAGCTTTAAACCATGAAATCGAGCAAAACTAGTTACAGTTCCTTCTCTCGTATAAGGTAATTTGCTAGAAGATGCCACTGTTGCTAACGCAGAGTAGCCGGACGAGATGAGTTTGCGAGCTGGGATACCCTACAGACATCAAAGACCAAGGATTGAAATTGCTGAGGCGCTCTAAGCCTCTTAACTGTAGCAATTTAAAATGTGTTTTACCCTGAGGTATGTGAATAATTCTCAGGAGTTTAGGTGATACATTTCACAAAGATCAGGGAAAGACCATTACTGTAGTTAGAGGCAGCCACATCACAATCAGAGATTTAGGAGGCTTTTATTTCCAAATATACCCGTTAAACAACCTTTAAAAAATGCCCTTAATAAAGAGGATGAAAGTGGGATTGATAATCTGCAAAATAAATAGAACAGTGGTCATTGAGTCATTTTAATTACATTGATGCAGCCCAGCCACAGCGACTCCCACTCCAGCCCAGGACTCCAGTAAACGGAATAGTTTTTATTTACTTAACCATAAAATCGGGGGGGGGGAGATTTAGGGAGATGAACATCTAAGTATGATATGTTCTGGTATTCATGTTAGAGTACTGTTTGGAGCGAATGCTTGAGTACTATTGATAATGCTTGTGCATTGCTGGTATTATTTTTGTATGTAATAGGATGCTTTTCCGTATTTAGTCAGCAACTGGATGTGGAAGGTAAGGAGGAAACATGATTAGATAATAATAGGGTATGTACTTTTGGGTTCATCATAATAATTCATCCGGCGCTTACGTTCTTACGCATCCTTGCGTCCTGACATATGAAAAGAATGTTATTTCTTGAATATTGAACATATTGACATATATTAATATAGTGGATCCCGGGGCCTTTGGTATATTTGGTGTAAGGCGATTAGAGCAATGATGGTACAACAGGAAAATGTAAATACTGGCTCAAGTGCCAACACACTGACTTGGACATCACCTTACGTCATACTTCAGAATGCAAGGATGCGTAAGAACGTAAGCGCCGGACGAATGATTATGACGAACCCGGAAGTACACACCGGGACTTCAAAGTAAGGGCGCCAAAATTGGCTTTAAAAGGGAAGACTGCAAGGATTTTTACAACGTAACCACTTTTGAGAAAGGCGAGCAAGCCGAAACGCTTCTTTAATTCTAAGGAATTGTTTTTAAACTGTGTTTGTTCAACTAAAGAAGTTTAGTGCTTTCTTCACCTACATCTGGCATCCTGGATTTTATTTGGTGTTGCATCTAAAAAGCATAAGCTGGGAACCCAGTATCCAGAACCTTATCAAGTTGCCACCTTTTTTCCATGTTGGAGTTTTTAGTCTGAGCCAGCTTTTGGAGTGGTTCAGAACCATGTTGGTTCATAGATTTTATTTCACATATAGTCAGTTGTAACTATGTTACCCTATGAGCCTGTTCTTTTTTTTTTAATTTATAGACTCCACTACTGTATGTACAGATTGTGGTAATATTTTATTTTATTGAGTGTCCTTACCATTATTTATTGTATTTTTCACTTGTATTTTGTGTGTTTGGAGTGATACACACGGTGATTGTAGAACCATCCATTTTAATAATTTTTTACTACTGTATTATTGCTGTAATACTAGGGTAATATCATCTGCAAACATTACAAGTTTGTGGACTCCATTGGGTGTTCTTTTACCTGTGATTTGTGGAGAATTCTCATCAAGTGGGCCAAAGGTTCCAAAGCTAAAATACACATTAAAGGAGATAGGGGACAGCCTTTGCAGGCTCCATTTGTTATTGCAAATTTAGACAAAAGACCAGAGTTTTGCTCCATGGCTTTTGGAACAGAGTTTAGTGCCATGACAGCCCTGAGAAATTGGAAAGGCATGCCAAATATCTGAAGTGTGTTGCTCATATAGCTATATATCTGTGGAGGATTACAGTTTCCAAAAAGTCAACAACTTGTTCCCAACAGTGCCACATAATTTCAACTTCCAGCGAGGAATATATGTTTGCCAGGCCAGGATTTGTTGGGACAGCTTGGGACCACTCTTCCCTAATAAATGTACATAGTAGCAACCATAGTGAGGGACCAAACAAAATATAAAAAGACAAAAAGAAAGACAAAATGAAATTGAAATATAACTGATGGAAACTTTTATATACAACAGTCTTCCCATTTCGAGCAGCTAAACAATAAAAGCGCTGAGCAGACCCGCCTGAAGAATATATTTCCAGAGGCTGGTGGACACACAGCACCTCTATTGAGGCGGCAGACATCCGAGTTACAGTACATTTTACCCAGCACTAAAATAGATGGATCTTGAGTACCAGAACCTCTTGACATAAACTGTCCTCAATATAAGATGGGACAAGATACATGAGTAGCAAACAAAAAAATAACTAAAGGAAGCAACACCCATAAAGTAGGGAGAGACATACTTTTAAAGATGCTTATATAACTTAGTTCCTCCTGTCCCTTGTGACTGGTAAAATATCCTATATTTTTGGTTCCATTTGCTTGTTTCGTCTGCCTCACCTACTCTTGTGCCAGAAGCACCTACTAAAAGATGGTCAGCAGATCTCTGTGTATCGCTCTAAGTCAGGCTTCCCCAAACTCCGGCCCTCCAGATGTTGCTGAACTACAACTGCCATGATTCTCAGCCTATCTATTTCATTTATAGAACCATGGGAGTTGTAGTTCAGCAACATCTGGAGGGCTGGCGTTTGGGGAAGCCTGCTCTAAGTGGTCTATCCTGTGCCCCCCATCCTTGATTTCTTTATGGAGATCTGTCTTCGTGATCTTAAAATCTGTCTGCAGTAGAGCGCAGACTCTGCTCTTATCATGGACGTGGAGGTCAGTGTGCTGTCAGAGAAGTTGCCCAGCAGCTCTGATTCCCACGCTGTATTGGATGTGGGCTCACAGCCTCCATCTTGACCATGCTGTGGCCTGTGCCTCTTGGTGCTCAGGCTGGCACAGGGCCGGTCAGTGAATTTAGGCTGTCTGTTTGGGGTGATTGTGTTCCCAGTTAAGTTGGTAGGAGATGTGGAACGAGTTTTATCTAGTTTTCGCAATGTAAATTGTCGCTCTGTGCTAGGTCGGTATGGAGCACTCACAACACTGTTTTTCTGCCTGATGGTCTGAGTTCATTCACGGAACCTTTGAAATCTTAAGGAAATTTCTTTTTTTTTTTTTTTTTTTTTTTTTTTTTTCTGTTTATTGTTTTTAACATTTTTGGATAGCTTGACAAAGACATTGTTCAATTATAAACATACATTGTTTAAATGCTAACATATACAAATTGTAGTTATCCAGTTGAGATCATCTGTCTGGTTACAAATTGAAAATCCTGGTTCGATGTAACATATGGTAAACAGGTTTAAAGTATTTAAATATATTAGTATAGGTAAAACCGCAAGAGATACTTTTATATCATCTGAGGCAACTTTCTCTCTCAAACTGTCTTAAGGTTTACTTTACCTAGTACATAGGATACAGAGATAAATGTTGTGGGGTATACAAGGTACATGTGATATGTACCAGCATCGACCTTATGTCCCCGTTTGGTATATACATTACTAACGCCGTGGTCAGCAGTTTTGTGTCAGCATATTTGTTTAACTGTATAGCCGGGATTAGTAGGTCCCGACTTCTCAGCCAGGTCTTTGGCCATCTTACTGCTACGTCTGGGGAGGAGGGGGAAGGGGGGGGGGAGGTAGGGCTTGCGTTAATTACCGTTGAGTATGCACTAGGAGGGCCCTGGACCGTCCGGGTTCCATAGGGTTGTGGATTTGCCTATGTAGTTTGACCAAGGTTCCCATGTGGTTACATAATGGGCGTATTTATCGTTTAGTGAGGCTGTCAGTTCCTCCATAATCCGTATCAACTCTACTTTCTGGAGCCATTCCCTCATGGATGGGGCCTTAGTGGCCTTCCATTGTATCGGTATGAGGAGATTGGCCGCTGTGAGCATGTGGGTCAGTAAGACCCTCTGTGGTTTGGCAATGGGGTCTGAGTATAGTAAGAAGAGCATTGTCTCCGGTTTGAGTGGTATGTCCCTCCCTATAATATTGTTGATGATTTCTCGTACTCTCTTCCAGTAGGGTTGTATGGTTGGACAGTGCCACCAGATGTGAGCTGTTGTCCCTCCTGTTTGCCCGCATCTCCAACAAACATCTAGTGCGTGTGGGAATATATGTTGGAGTTTGGTGGGCGAGTAGTGCCACCTTGATATTCTCTTGTATGTGCTTTCTTGGATAGTGGTGCTAATGGAGGATCTCTGAATGCCCTGGAGAATGGTGCCCCATTCCCCCTGTGTTATGTTGATAGAGAGTTCCCTATTCCATGTTTGGGTGAACTGTGGCAGGTGCCCTTTCTGCTCTCCTTGGAGCAACTTATAAAATATCGATAGATGTTTGGTTTTGAGGGATTGGGACGTGCAATATGTTTCATATGGCGTGAACGACCGAGAGCCTGTTTGTAGTGTTCGTGTGGATCGTATGAAGTGGGTCAGTTGCGCATAACGAAAAGTCTGGAGCGTCGTGGGCTGGTTTATTCCCATTAGGGTGTCGAGTGGTTTGACTGAGTTTTCCTCCAAGACTGAGTGCAGTCTCAGATAGGGCGTCTTTTGGGGCAATTTTAGGAACTCAAATGCCTGGTTCGGTAGCCCTGGTTGGAACAGTGGATTTCCTGTCAGGGGGTATAGAGGGGACGGGTGGGGGGGATATTGAGGTTCTCTGTCTCATGCGTGTCCAGGTTTTGAGTGTGGGTGTAATGGTGGGGTGGCTGGACTGGTGTGGGGTTAAGAATGGAGAGCCAGTGCTGTGCCACGGAATCCCGTGGAGTGGGGTTGTAAAGAAGGATTTCTCTAGTTGCACCCATTGTAGCTGCGGGCACGGGTTGGCCCATTCATAGATCCTCGTGAGAATGGTCGCTGTGTGGTAGAGCTCTATGTGTGGCATCCCCAGGCCGCCTTGGCTTTTGGGTTTCGTGAGCGTGGTAAAGGCTATCCTGGGGTGTTTGGATGCCCATATAAATTTGGTGAAGAGGTGCCGCAGTTTGAGAAAGAAAGATTTAGGGATGTGGATTGGGAGTGTTTGCAGAAGGTATAGCAATCTTGGGAGCGTGTTCATTTTTAGAATGTTGACGCGGCATAGCCATCCGAATTGGGGCTTGTGCCATTTGGTCAGATCTGTTTCTATCTGTTGAAGGAGTGGGAGGGAATTGATTTTATATGTGGTTGCGAGAGTATGTGGTAGGTGAACCCCTAAATATTTGATGTCTGATTTGGCCCACGTAAATGGGTATTTCTTCTTCAGTGTGATTTGTAATGGTTGGGAAATTTCCAAGGGCAGGATTTCGCTCTTGGCGAAGTTAACCTGGAAATTGGATATCTGATTGTAAGCAGTTATTTCCCCCAGAAGCGGTTGCATGGAGGTGCTAGGTGAGGTTAGTGTAAAGAGTAGATCGTCAGCAAATGCTGAGATCTTGTATTCCTGATGTCCCACCCGGAAACCTGTGATATCTGTGTTGTCCCTGATCCCCTGAAGGAACGGTTCCATCGTGAGGATGAAGAGGAGCGGGGACAGGGGGCAACCCTGTCTCGTGCCGTTTCGTATGTGCACTGGGTCTGACAGTTGTCCATTGATTTTAAGTTTAGCCGTGGGGGCAGAGTAGATCGCACTGAGCCATTTGTCCCAATTTGGCCCGAAACCCATTGCTTGCATTGTGGCTCTGAGGAGGAGCTTTTTCCGCATCGACCGAGAGTAAGAGGCTGGGTATGCGTTGAGAGTGAGACAGATGGATGATGTTTAAAAGCTTTGTTGTGTTGTGTTTTGCCTCCCGTCTCGGGACAAAGCCCGCCTGGTCTGTGTGTATGAGTTCGGGTAGCAGGGGGCGCAACCGGTTTGCAAGAATTTTAGTAAAAATTTTAAGGTCCACATTAATTAGAGATATTGGGCGGTAGCTGCCACAGCTTGTGAGGTCCTTTCCTGGCTTTGGTAATAGCGTGATATGTGCCTCTAAAGCTGGGGCAGGGAGACATGGGGCGTTGATGAGAGAGTTAAATGCATCTAGGAAGGGGTCTGCTAGTACGTTCTTGAATGTTTTAAAGTATTTGGCCGTGTACCCATCTGGGCCTGGGCTTTTCCGTAGGGGTAGGGAGCCCACTACTCCCAAGAACTCGTCTCTCGTCAGAGGACCGTCTAGGGTTTGTAGCGCTCCTTCTGGGATCTTGTGCCGCACCCTGGGGGTTAGGAAATGGGGGGGCGCTCCTAAGGTTGTATAACTCTGAGTAGAATTTATGAAATGCGTCCATTATGTCAGGAAGGGCGTGAGAAATGCCCTTGTCAGGGTGTTTGACCTTCGCTATGAATGTTGTTTGCCTACTTTGTTTTAGCGCGGAGGCTAAGAGACGGCCGCATTTGCCTCCATAGTAAAAATAGGAGTGTTTGGTGCGTAGCAGCGTACGTTGGACCCGTGTGTTTAACAGTTGTTGTAGCTCTGTGCGTTTCGCGAGCAGTGCCTTATATGTCTGGAATGAGTCTTTGTTGTGGTGTGTTGCCTCTAGAGCCCTTATATCCTCTGTGAGGGTTTTGATTTGACTCTCCCTCTTTTTTTTGTGTGTGGATGCGATGGCTATGAGCTGTCCCCTTAGTACACACTTATGTGCTTCCCATGTCACAGGGGGGGAGGTCTGCGGCAAAGTGTTTTCTGTGAAGTACTGTTGAATGGAGTCGTGTATCTTTTTTATCACTACTTTGTCATTTAGTAGTAAGTCATTTAATTTCCATTGGTATGTTTTCAGGGGGACGGCAAGAGACAGGGGTGCGTGGTCAGACCATGTGATAGGGCCGTAGGAGCACGATGACATTAAATGCAGGAACCTGTGCGGTATAAAGAACATGTCTAACCTGGAATATGTGTGGGTTGCGTGGGAGTAGTATGAGTAATCCTTCCTATTGGGGTGACTTAGTCTCCAGCAGTCATAGAGTTGGGCGCTGTCCAGGAGACGAGAGAAGTGTTTGTGGAGAGAGTCGTATCTGTTGGGGGTGGCCGATGTGGTGTCTAAAGCAGAGTCTAGTGACATGTTGCAGTCTCCCCCCATTATGAGTATACCCTCTGCAAAAGTGTCTATCCAGCGTAGGCATTTTTTAAGGGTCTTGCATTGGCCGGTATTAGGCATGTACATATTTACAAAGGTGATTTTATTTTGTCCCACGGTCCCCTTTACTAGCAGTAACCTCCCTGAGTCGTCCGTTTTCTGGTCAATGAGCGTAAAAGGTACCTGGGCGGATAGTAATATGGCCACTCCTCTGGTTTTTTTCTCAGCGAAATGTCCAAAGTAGCTTGTGGGATATCTACTGTTTCTCAAATTGGGGGCTCTATCTTTTTTGAAGTGGGTTTCTTGGAGGAACGCCACGTCTGCGCGCAGTCTATGTAACTCTGTAAGGGCTAGGGATCTTTTTTCAGGGGAGTTCAACCCCCTCACATTAAGGGTAATTATACGTAGGGTAGTCATTGTCTGTCTGTTACCTTAGGGTTATCTAGGGCGAGTGTCGTGCCTCCGCCTAGCGCCTGGCCACAGACCTGTCTGTACAAAGATAAGCAGAAAATCACAAGCAAAGATGCACTAGAACAAGACAAATAATTCAACTTCAATGATCAATCAATGAGTAACACAAACTTCAATTGTAACCTGCACCTGTGCCAGGTGCGTGAGTACCTATGGTAGCTGTCTCAGCCGAGATGGTCTATCTCTCCGAGAACCTGTCACCTTGGTGTAGGCCCTACGGGCCTAGGTTCAGTTATCTACTGGTATAGGCTTGCGTATAGCTACGCCTATACTTTTCACCGTATTATCCTGAGGGGGCGGGGGGGGGTGATTGACCGCAGGTCTACCGTCGCTATCCCAATCGGAATGAGCTCCGCTTGAAGTGGTTTATCTAGTTTTATGGGCGGATGGGTTTTGGAGACTGATGGCCTCAGCTATTAAGCCTAGTGTGATGGGCCTCTTGTGTTGTTTCCGGGGTTAAAACTTTCCCTTCCCCACTGCCTTGTCGTCTGGCCTGGGATCTGCGTTGGTATGTGATAACCTTCAAGTGGGCGGTGGGTACCCTGGGGGGGGGGGATGGTCTTCTAGGGGTCCTATGATGGTCCTTAACAAATATGTAGACTTTTCTTTTTTTTTGAGAGTTATTTATTTAATTTAATTTTCCCCCTCTTTCTCCCCTGATACCTTCTTTCGTCTATGGGTTCGATGACTTCCCTGTTTTAGGGTCCATGAAAGGTGGGCCTAGGAGTGTAAAGCAAAGAGTGTGGGGGGAGCCTATAGGGATGGTTCTTTTAAGTTATACGTGACTATGGACATCAACAATCTACCCTGTTTACAAAGTTGGGCAGTCGGGCACTGTGGTGGATTTCCTCGTGGGGCACATACGTATAACTGTTTCAAGATGTAGGGACTAAGGATTGATGAGGGGTAAGTGTAGCACAGTCATTGAAATACATATTACCCGCCCTTGCGATAGTCTTTCGTATATGTCTGTGGTTCTTCCTTGCCGTCTGCCTGTAGCTTGGAGGATAATTAAGAAAGTCCCAGTGATGCGTGAGGCGATGTCTCTGTAGTTTTGTCCGGTTTCTTCGTCTTTTAGATTTGAGGTGAGTCCAAGACAGTCCGTGATGGGTATGGTTTTTTTTTTTTTTTGTTTCTTTTTGCTTTGTGCTCGCATGAAAAAGTCACTAATCACAGAGTCCTGTTTCTTGTAGGCCTTCATCCCAAGTTAATGCGTCTTTGATCATAAGTGGTTATGGTACCTTTGGCGTTCGGATATTCAGCTGTCTTGGGTGGTTCGCTTGGCTATTGCCGTCGTGCGGATGACGGTCTTAAGTCTCCGTGTGGCAAGCTATCCGTGCCTTCTGTATGTCTCTTCCTCGTTTCCTGCTGTCCGTGGGGGCGCTGGGGTGCCGGAGGCATCCCAAAGGGTGGCATCGGGCCGTACCAGTCGCTGATGTGTATCATAGGGAGGTCCAGGGCCCTCTGGAATACTGGGACATCGTGTATGGTGTGGATGCTGTGTTGGTTGCCATTGATCGTGGTGCTTAGAGCAAAGGGGAAACCCCACCTGTATCTGATGTTCCTCATCCTCAGCTGGTCTGTGATGGGTTTCAATGATCTTCTGGCTTGAAGTGTAAGCCATGAGAGGTCTGGGTATATACTGATTGGGTCACTATGAAATAATAACGGCTGGTTGGAGTTCTGTAGTGCTGCCAGAATATCTTCTTTGCACCTGTAATAGTGTAATCTGCATATTACATCTCTAGGCCTGTCGGTGTTCAGGCCCCTAGGTCGCAGGGCTCTATGGGCTCTGTCAAATATTATGGTAGAGTCAGGCGCTCTGTCAAGGATTAGGTTAAATAGCTCAGTGAGCACTGCTATAATGTCTTCCTTGTCATTTTCAGGGATGCCTCTCACTCTCAGATTGTTCCTCCTTCCCCTATTATCTAGATCATCTAGGGAACGTTGTATCTCTGTGAGCTGGGTTGTGTGGGCTTTCACATTGTCTTGGAGGGATTGTATTTGTGTTTGGGTGACATCCCTGTCATCTTCCAGTGACCCAATCCTGTCTCCCATGTGGCGCATGTCTGCCCCTATGGCGTCTAGTTTGCTTTGGAAGGACATCTCCAACTTACCCAGCATGTTCGCTAGGTCTTGTTTGGACGGCATGTTGCGGAGGAGGTCCCTGATTTCGGTGTCCCCGGGCACCCCGGCCATTTCTGGGCCTGCTGGGCTGGATGGCTGGGAGTTGTGGTAAGGTGAGTCCGGCGCCATGTTTGGGCCTATTCCGCCCGGCTGGAGTTCCGCATTGTCGCAGAAATACTTGGTGAGGGCCCCCGGTTTCCCCGCCGGCTGCTTACCGGAGGGGTGAGGGGTAGATGCTGCTCTCTTTGGGTGTCCCATCGTTAATTTAATCACCCGATGCCCGCGGATTCACTCCTTCATGAAAGGGGCTTGTTTATCTCGCGGCCATTTCGTTCCGTGGTTGGCTCCGCCCCCCCTTAAGGAAATTTCATTGTCAATTCTCTACAATACCGGATTTAATAAATTGTAAATTATCCTGAGTGCTTTTTAAGAGAGGACACTCCTGCTGTCCTTGGCCTATGTTGGGAGCACAGTTAATAAATCATTAAGTATCATGTTTTCTGATACTACAGCCGGTCCACCCAGAAAAGTGAGTAATCTTGTGTTAAACTGATTATTTTAATTCAATATATCTTTCAATGCTGTCCTCTTACACATGTTAAGAAAAATCATTTTAGTTCTTTGAAAGTCATGAATGGTGATTGAGTAAATGCTATCATCCATGATCACAAATAATTGCTTGTACAGAGGCCCCGCTGCTTTGTAATTATAGCTCTGCATCACACACCATATATATGCTATAATTACCGCCATTTTTTTGTTAAGAGAAAACTGAGTATTCTCCTTGCTCATGAGGGAAAATAAACAATTTAAGCAAAACAAAAAGGGCATTTAGACTGCCTCATTTCAATCTATTTAAAAAATCTAATCTATTTAAAGGGATGCTTTAAGCACCAGAACTATCATAGTTTAAAGGGACAGTCCACTGGCCAAATACCAATGTTTAGTAGATCTACTTCCAAAGAAAACATGCATTTGTTTAATTGGGCATTTCTTCATTGGGTATATCTAAAAACAGCTTGCAAAAGCTGCAGATTTCTTGTCTGAAGCCTTTGCAAACCTTCTCCTTCTAACCCAGCCCAGACTGTGGCTGTCCAATTACAGACTCCCCAATGTAGCCCATGAGAAGTCTTTACAAGGCAGGGACCCTGGGCAATTGCTACCTTTTAAATTTAGTTCCACTGAGATAAACAACCAGGAAGTAACAAAACCCCAGTGTTGTCTGATTGACAGCCAGGGGGTGTAATAAGGTTCATTTTTTAATGTACCAATTTCTATTTAAATCTGCACTTTTTGTAACTTTTTAAAACTCACTCTCCACACATAAAGCACTTCAGCAAGCTAAAGGGCTAGATGGACCAAATGGTTCTTATCTGCCGTCACATTCTATCTTTCTATGTTTCAGGGGTCGAGGGTGTCCCTTTAATGTTTGGATGCAAAGAGACTGCACTGGCAGTCTGAAAATGTCAGAGAAAAGGAAGTGTTTACATGTGTCCCTAACGACGCCTCTCGTGGCTGTCACTCTAGACAAACGTCCTTTCTAGTTTTTGCTTGTACCAGTTGTGACATGAAGATGTCATTTAACAGATTCAAAACTCTAATTTCCTTTGATGAACTACTAGTCCAGTGATGGCTAACCTTGGCACCATAAATTGTTTCTGGACTACATTTCCCATGATGCTCAGCTAGCCTTTAGACTCTAAAAACTAGCTGAGCATCATGGTAAATGTAGTCCAGAAACCATTTATGGTGTCAAGTAGTGATTTCGCGAACTTGCCGCGAACCGTTCGTGGCGAACTCCGGTCAGCTGACACATCCCTGCCAATCTCCGGCAGACCCTCCCTCCCAGACCCTCCTACTTCCTGGACAGCATCCATGTTGAAGGCAGCTTCAACATGGATGCTGTCCAGGAGGTGGGAGGGTCTGCTGGAGATTGGCAGGGATGTGTCAGCTGACCGGAGTTCGTGGCGAACGGTTTGCGACATCACTAGTGTCAAGGTTAGCCATCACTGAACTAATCCCTCTGTCCCAATTTATGTCTGGGTAATCAAAATCTCCAATAACTAAGGTGATACCCAGATGTACAGCTTTCCCAGACTACGCTAACAGCTGTTTTTCCTCATAAATATCAACATTAGGTGGTTTATAACTTATCCCAACCAATAATTGATTCCCCTTGCCAGACATGAACCTATAACGTTTCCACATTTTTGTTTGTCACATTCCACTTGCATAATATTTGACTTGCTTCTGATCTCGTTGTGACAAAATCATGTCGGTGGGTCCAGACAATTAATTTGACCAAATCATGTATAATGTCCCAGAAAACAAAATACCATCTAAAATCACTGCCAAACTTTAAGTGAATAACCCTTTCAATGAACTTACAATATTCATTGTTCTCTCTCAACTCTCTCACTGGCAGCTTATCTGCTAATACCCGGAGACTAGTCATAAATATATCAAAATATTTGGTTTGCAAACAGAAAAATAAAATATGCCTTAATTGCTGTACTATTTCAGGATATTTTCCAGACACCAACAA